ATGTTTAATATTAGTAGAGTAGATAAGATCAATATAGTTTGCATTAAGATTAAGTTGTTTGTTGGCTTTTTTTCTTCTCAGAAACTGGGTAAAAAGAATAGTAAATACTTCTAGAGTACAGTAGCTAGAAATACAGTTAGAGTTGAGATTGCAGCTTTCGCAAGGTTTGCAAGAAATGGGAGATAGTGGGTAGTGGTTGGATATAGAAGTATCAATATTGTGTTGCTAGTGTGTTATAGATATAGTATTAGTTTGTGGAAAAGTTTTGCGAACTTGACCAATTACAATATGCTCATTGTAATAAGTTAGAACCCAGGGTTTGTGAGTTTTAGGAATAAGGTTGGTTTGATATACAAAAGGATTGGAACCTTTGGGCTAAAAATGAGATAGAATAGTATGAGATAAGTTATTTTCAAGAATAGAATCTTCTAGATATTTGAACCAGAGTGGTTTTTTGCCTTTAGGAATATGTAAGATTCTAGATGATAAGTGTAGCCAGTCTAACAAAGTTCTGTTATTTGCTGAGCAGAGTTGTTCTAAATATAGAATGTTTTTGTGACTTAGTTTATTTATAAAATTAGATTTTTTTTAATTTTTTTTAATTTTTTTTTATTAATTTTTTTGATTTGTTTTATTCTTTTATTTTATTTAAATTTTTTTTAATTCTAATTTTTTAAATTATTTATTATTATTTTTTAATTTGCTATAATTTAATTTAATTTATTTAATTATTTATTTTATTTAATTATTTATTTTATTTAATTATTTATTTTATTTAATTATTTATTTTATTTAATTATTTATTTTAAATTATTTTTTTTTATTTTTAAAAAAAAATAATTATCAGACCTAATGTTACAAATCACTAAAAAATTTTGCAATTAATTAGTTATCAACTTTTCGATTATTCAATTTTTATTTAATTTTTGTTTTATTTTTATTTGATTTTAATATAAGTTTTCAAAAATTTTTCAATTGAATAGTTGTCAACTTTTTGATTAGTTGCGATTTTCGATTTTTGATTTGTAGTACTAATTAGATTAAAATTGTAAGAATTATAAAATTAGGTACAATAAACACAACTAATAAGAGTAATAACAGATATTACATAATATCTTTTTACTATAGGGGTACCCCAACATAAGTCAACTCTGATTGGCTAATTTAAAAATAGTTATAATATATTATATATATAATTATATTACTTTTTTTTTTTTTTTTAGTATTAAGATAATCTTATTAGTCTGGTGAACTTTTTATTAGAGTATAGATGAGTTTTATATATAATTACAATGATAGTAAATCAAGCCACATGTGTACCTATTTAAGTAATCTGCTTGAAGGTTCTACACTATTTGCCATACCTGCACCCCAACTAGAGAGGTATCTATTTAAACCATCTAGTCCTAACTATCTCTATCCGTCTCCTAACCCGATGGGTTTCCTTTCTATTTATACGCTAGATTTTGGTTTACCCAATCTAGATTTCGCACTCTACTTTAGGATACTTAATTATCCTTGAGGTAAACCTAACAGAGTGGTACATGTTTCATACATGTATTCACCTGCATGTTTCTATAACTTCTTCCTAATTAGTATATATTGATCTGCCATTCCATATTCGTATCTTATACCATCTTTTGAAATACTACTATTCTACAAACATTTCTCAAGCACCAACCTTCCTAACTAGGTGTCTATTATGTACTTACTACCTTTATTCAATTTACAGCAACCCCAATACCCACATTTGGACCATTTTCTTATCTGGATTCTTTATCAGTCTCTCTCTTATTTCCAGCCAGCAACCCAGAAGGGTCAGTCTGCCCAGGCTTTAGGTGCCTCATGGTTGCCCTCCTCTTGGTCTATACTTTCAGAGCATATGCCCTTTTTATCTAGTGCATCAACCCAGCAGTTTGGCTAGTGTGTCCCTCTATTTAAAGACCTGATTACTCAGTTTTCAAATCTCAGACCCCAGTTTGAATTTAGCCCTCCTGTAGTATCGTTGAAGATTACTACTACCTCCAAATTCGAGACTTGCTAAATAGGTTTTCAGTTATTCTGGTTCCTTAGATTTATTGTGCCAAAACTCCCATAACTAGATAGTGTGACCAAGATTACAAATTTAATTCTAGATCTAACTGATAATCAATAACCATAAACCATAATACAGGCTATTTTTTAAAATTTGTCGTCTGTGGAGTTTGAACTCTAGACCTGCCACTTAGAGAGTGTAATGACTAGACCACTACACTAAGTTACTATACCTCATATGGGGCCACCTGTAGCAAAACGGTGTAATGAGACAATTACATGATCGTGAAAAAATTACGATTTAATTTTATTATGTGATTTACAATAAATTTTTTGAAAAACCGACTTTAATAGTTAAAAAAAATTTTAACAAGTAATTTTTTTTAAAATAATTCTTTTTTATATTTTAATATATTTGTTTTTTTTTTTGGTTTCAATAGTAACCACTTTATTACGTCTGAATAGTTAAGTATATTATATAGTAGTACAGCAGCTAGTCTATATATATTTCTATATATATCCCAGGTCTCTCCCCCACGGTGTTGCAGTTCCCAAACTTACTGTACTCCCATTCGTGCGTAAAGCATCACATGGCTGCTCAGAGATGCCCATATGTAACCGTCTAGCTACTTATTTACCTCCTCTTCAGCTCCTAATTTGCTAGGGGGTTCTCCTCGGATCAACGGAAGACCATGCTCGCCTTTTTGCTAAGGTACTTGTTCCACTCATGTGCCTCACCCAGACTTCGGTAATTTTACACCACAGCTTGACCTATGCACTCGAGATCAGGGCTAACCATTGAACCCCTTGTATTACCTACTTCTTGCTCTTATTAAGGTTCACAACAATTCCGATACTCACATTTGATACCATCTTCTTATCTGAATTCTTTATCAGTCCCTCTCTTACTTCCAGCCGGCAACTCAGAAGGGTTGGTCTGCCCAGGCTTTAGGTGCCTAAAGGATGCCCTTCCCTTGGTACATACTTTTGGAGCATATGCCCTTTTCCTTCGGTGCAACAGAACCCGACGGTTTGGCTAGTATGTCCTCTACCATTAGGATCTGGTCGTTTGGTTCTCCGATCTCGGGCCCCGGTTCGAATTCAGCCCTCATATAGTACCATCATAGATCATTGCTATTCCTTAGCTCGGGACTTCCCAAATGGGTTTTTGGTTATTCTAGTTCCTCGGCTTTATTGCACCATTGCTCCCATTACTAGATGGTATGACCGAAGTTACAGATTTATCTAAGATCTAACCAATAATCATAACTGTTAACCATAATGCAAGCCTAATTTTTAAAATTCGTCGTTCGTGGGATTTGAACTCCAGACTTGCCACTTGGAGAGGGTGACAACTAGACCACTACACTAAGTCACCACACCTCGATATATTTGTATTTTATATATTTATATTGATATTTATATATTTAAATTATTTATAACGTCAAAATCATAACAATAGAATTTTTATTCTTTACGTTTTATCTAATCGCTCATACTTTTCATTGTTACTATTATTACCTCACCTTTTTTCTATTTTACCTTATCATATTTCAATTTAATTACTTATTTTATTCAATACAAACCTTATATTTATTTATAAAAAGATCTTGTGAACTTGTATTTATTTATTTTTTGCATTTATTTTACATTACATTTAGCAAGTGCCAGCACAGCATTATTAAACTTTGATTTAAATTGTTTAGCGGTATGCTGAAGTTTTGGGTTTCTATAGTATTTATACTCATGCTTAGCACTATGTTTAATTGTACTGTAATCAAAACATATAGAACTCAATACTAGACTTGGCATAAACCAATTTAATATAATATTTAATTTATTTATAAAACTGAATGGTTTAATTTACTTTGAACTTTCAGATTTAGGGCAAGTAATATCATAAAAAGGCAAGTCTATATAAGAAGCAATTTCTTTGTATAATTCTTCTTGCCTCTTTAAAGGAAGTGGCCAAACACTAATTGTAGAGGGTAAGATATTTGTATTAAAAGGAAAAGAGTGAATTTTATAATTTTTATAATCATTATCAAGATCATTTTTGTAAAAAACAGCTTCAGGATTTTTTGATATGAAATAAAAGTGATAATACTTTTGAATATTGGGTAATTTTTTAAATGTTTCAAAATAAAATTTGAAATTATAATATTGAAATCCTTTTCCATTCAGATAGCGCTGAGCAAGATTTAAGTTAATTGATGTAGAACAATTAATAATAATCTACAGTATTGACTTTGCTTTTCGATAAAGAATTTTAATTAAACCAAAGCAACCATCCATATAAACTTCATATGTCCAGGTATCATGAAATTTAGCTCAACTTCATCATACATATTGCGATCAATTAACTATGAATAAAAAAATAATAAATAATTATTTTTATTCTGGCCTGTACAATTATCACATGTGATAACTAATTTGCTTTCACCATGATTATATTTTTGAATTGTATGCCAAACCAAACTTAGAGTACAATTTACGCCTTTACCTTGCTTACTATCATCAGGCATTTCTGCTTTATCAATTGTATAATTAATTTGTTGTGTATTCAGAAAGTTACCAGTATTGCAAACTCCAAATAGATGCACTTTTCGAGGATTTTTAAAATATAATGGACCTGTTTGCTGCAGTGAGTAAGGTATTTGTACACTCTGGGCCCAATCATATACAATATGTATACTACCTCTAAAAGTTTTAAAAGATACTTGAGAACTATTTATATTCGATTATGCTTTCCATCTTCAATTGTATTTTTAATATTAATATTGTAATAATCACATTCTTTTTGTGCACAATTCAAGTAAGTTAAATACTTATTCGTAAGTTCTAATTTTTTTTCATGCTGCATAATATATTGAATTTCCATTTTTATTGATTCACAAGTTTCACATAAATCAGATTTTGGAGACATAAATTGAAGCGACGATATTAACATTTTCCAAATACAAGTAAAGGTTGTTTCAGACATAACACGAACATTGTTTCTGTGCTTATCTTTGTAAGCTTGTATATACTGACTTACAACTAAAATTAGTTGGAAAAAACACAATTGGCATAGAAATTTTATTGAAATGTTGTCCAGGTGTAGGCATATCATGTATGTTAGAGTAATTTTTTAAAAAACTAAATAAATCACATGCTACATCATAATTTACTTCAATTTGCTTCATATTTTTTGGAGCTCTACCAGTATTACCATGTATACGCTCCTCAAGACCATGTTCTTGTAAATGATGTTTTATATTTTCTAAATACGTATGACCCACTCCAACAAGAGCTAAATAGGTATTACGACAGACTAGGATATCATTATTGTAACAATAACCAAAATATATATTTTTTCTATTTTTATTAGTAACTTTTCTTGTATTTTTACTTTTTTGAAAAGCGATTAGTTGTCCCTTTATAACCATATCACACATATTTTTATCTAGGCTTTCAAATTCAGCCCGACATGCAAGAAACTTTTCATATCCGATTTTCTCAAAACAAGATTGCTTAGAACGACAAGTGCACTTTCCTTTTTCAAAAAATTTTTAAATTTTTAATTTTAGTTCATCATAGATCTTGTCTTCAATATAATTGTCAGATAAATCTACAAAGTTAAACTCATTTAATTTATTTAAAGAGATGTTATTATCAATATCAGATAATGGTTCATTATCTGATAAAGAGTTAGATTCTTCGTCGCTTTTAGAATCTAAATATTCTGTATAAAAGGTGTTGTCCAAATCTTCTAAGGCAGCAACGATAGCTTCATTTGTGTTATTGTCATTGGAATGTATATTATATTCCATGTTTTCGCTAAAGGTATAAATGTAAAAATATTAAAAAATTCTCATAAATTCCTTTAGGTTCTTTTCATCTGTATTATTATTCATTATGCACGTATATACATACGTATATACATATATATATGCTGTGTATATCTAAATTGTCTTAAGCACTTACCAATTTCGGGTATTTAGAGAAATGCAAAGAGTGCCACTAAGAAAAAACCTGTTATCAATCATATAAAATTTATATGATTGATAACAGGTTTTTTCTTGACGTCACTCAAATAATTGCAAATTAAGTATAGTAATTATCGTTATACAGAAAAATTAATTTTCTTTCAAATTTTACCATAATAGTAACAAAGAAAAAATCTCAGATTTATACACAATTTGTTAATGTATTTGATTAAAAAATATTATTTTTAGAGAGACAAGACCTATTAGCAAATTATTAGTGCAAAATCTCAAAATCTGATTAGTTGGCTCATTATACTATTTTGCTACAGGTGGCCCCATATATAATTATATTGCTATTATATATTATATATATAATTATATTACTATTATATATTATTATTATTATTTTTTAATTAAAGGAAACCTTCTTGGTCAGTGATTTTTATTAAGTTGAGTTCAGGTATTATACATTTAGACAAAGGTATATATAGCCACACATGCACCTTTTAGGTGCCTAATTTAAGTAGTCTGCCCGAAGGTTCTACACTATCTGCCATACCTGCATCCCAGCTAGGAGGGTACCCATTTAAACCCTCTGATCTTAACATATTTGACCTAACGCCCATCTTAACATGAGTGTAACTCACTATTCAAACATAGATTTTGCGACACCACTACATAAACAGCCAACTTAGGACACTTTACTATCCTCGAAGGTAAGCCCAACAAAGTGGTACATGTTCCACACATGCATTCACCTGCATGTTCCATAATATCTTCCTAGTTAGTACTTGTTGTGTTGCTAACACCAAGTCCGTATTTCAAGCTACTCTTTAAGGCACTGCCATAACCTGATCTATATCTCAAGCTACAACCTTCTTAATTAGTTTCCCATTATGTACTCATTGCTCTTAATGGTTTACAACAACTCCAGTACCCATACTTGGAACCGTCTCCTTACTCGAATTCTCTATTGGTCCCTCTCTTACTTCTAGTCGGCAACCCAGAAGGGTTGGTCTGCCCAGGCTTTAGATACCTAAAAGACGCCCTCTCCTTGGTTCATACTTTCGGAGCGTATGCCCTTTTCCTCTAGTGCGACAACCCAGTAATTTGGCTAGTGTGTTCTCCGCTATAGAACCTGGTTGCTCAGTTCTCCGATTTCGGGCCCTGGTTCAAATTCAGCCCTCCTGTGATATTGTCGAAGATCGCTGTTATATCCAGATTCAGAACTTTCCAAATGGGTTTTCAGCTATGCTAGTTTCTCAGATTTATTGCGCCAAAGCTCCCATTACAAGATGGTGTGACCAAAGTTACAGATTAGTTCTAGATCCAACTGATAAACATAGTTGTTAACCAAACACAAAGAACACAGACCTATTTTTCAAATATCATTGCCAGTGAGATTTGAACTCTAGACTTGCCACTTGGAGAGGGTAACAACTAGACCACTACACTAAGTTGTCACACCTCTTACTATTATATATTATATATATAATTATATTACTATTATATATATAATTATTTTACTATTATATATAATAATAATATAAACTTGAATAACTTTGATCAACTAGACCAATTTGGTTGGTTTAACTACCAAAATGATCTTTAGGATGACAGCTTTCTAATGGATTCAAAATCATCCAATTCTGATTACAGGATTTCGCGATTTGAAGTATTTTGTATTGTATTTACTATATAGTAAATACTTCCAATCTCGGGATTCTGTGATCAGAATTGGATAATTTTGAATCCATTAGAAATCTGTTATCCTAAGAATCATTTTGGTAGTTAAATCATCCAAATTGGTTTGATGAATTAAAAGTTATTCAAGTTTCTATTATTATTATATATAATAATATATATATATATTTTTGTCAATTCAGCAATCTTGCCAATATTTTATTAAGTATGATCATTTGAACTCTCGAGTAAAAATGCAAGTTTGACTAAAGTTGTCTAAAGTTTATCTAAATTACAAATATTAACTAACTCGGCTCTTTGTAACACTAAAGTGCCCAAATTACCCATGTTTGATTTGCTATAGTAAAGTTTATTTCCATATCAAAAAACCCTGCAAATGAATTCTTTAATACATCACTAAATAGTATTTACGGCCTATTAAGATCACCTTCTTTTCTAACCTTCTTTTTCTAGCTTCCCAAGCAGAAGGATTCATAGTCTCCAACCGACTTATGAAAAAAAACCAATACTAACACAAAAGATAAAAGAAATAAAAAAAAAAAGGCTAAGCAACAAGAAAATAAATAAACATATCGGCAGATTTTTAAAATTTACTATTGAAAATTCTAAAAATATTTAACAGTGAATAAAATTTGATACACTAGTCCGTTTTTGATGAAACAATTACCAAAATGTTTGTCTTGTTGAGACAATTCTAATGAATACAAAATCGTTAAAATCCAATTACAAAACCCCAAGATCAGTAAAGATTTACGTTGCTTCAGGTTTTTTAGAATTGGTTAAACTAATTTTAAAACACCCGAAGTGAACAAATCATCAAAGATATCAGGATCCTGTAGTTAGATTTTGGCAATTTTGTATCCATTAGAATTGTCTCACCAAGACGAAACTTTTGGTAATTGTTTTGTTGAAAATGGATCAGTAGATCAAAAGTTATTCACTATTAAATATTTTTGGAATTTTTAATAGTAAATTTCAAAAATTTGCTAATATGAAAAGCAAATGAAAGAAGAAGAAAAAGGCAGGAAAAAAATAAATTTATGAAAGCACTATTATAGCCCGTGCTAGACATATAATAGTAATATAATTATTTTTTTTTTTGGTGTTAAGGTGACCTTCTTTGGCCTGGAGACTTTTTTT